GCATTTAGGTTTCCCGAGTTTTACACTTACAGACCGTACTGCAAGGGCTAACCTTGCGTAAACCTTTTTGTGTTGTGAGAGGAGTACCTGCAGGGTGTATTGAGGGGTAATTGCAATGTGGTTTTGTCAGACACCATCAAATTTTCTTCTGTCAGGGCTGTACCAATATGCATGTCCACCAGCAGCTTTTGAGAGCCTCTTTCCCACAGCCCTACTAACGGAAAGTGCCATTACACTTTTGAGTTTTTGCCAGTCCAGTGAAGGAGAGTGTATTGCAGTGGAGTGTTACTTCACCTCTCTCCTTTCTGAGGAGAAACATTTTTCAGATGCTTAAGGACCGTCTTTCTTTTTTTTTTTTTTTTGGAGTCTCGCTCTGTCACCCAGGCTGGAGTGCAGTGTCACAATCTCGGCTCACTGCAACCTTTGCCTCCCAGGGTCAAGCGATTCTCCTGCCTCAGCCTCCCAAGTAGCTGAGATTACAGGCACATGCCACCATGCCAGGCTAATTTTTGTATTTTTAGTAGGGACGGGGTTTTACCATGTTGGCCAGGTTTATGGGCCATCTTTATATTTTTAATTTTTGTGAATTGTCTGTTTATGTCTGTTGCCTGTTTTTCCAGTGGATTATATTGCCTTTTTACCTCTCCGTTTTTAAGGTTTCTTTATATAGAGAGAATATTGTCTTTATTTGTGAGATTACGTTACATGTTTTCTCCCAATGTTTTCGTTTGTCTTTTGACAACACCCTGTTTTGTTATTTTCTTTAAGATGAGTCTCGCTCTGTCACCCAGGCTGGAGTGCAATGGCACGACCTCAGCTCACTGCAACCTCAGCCTCCCAGGTTCAAGCAATTCTCCTGCCTGAGCCTCCTGAGTAGCTGGGATTACAGGCACGTGCTACCATGCCCGGCTAATTTTTGTATTTTTAATAGAGATGAGATTTCACCATATTGGTCAGGCTGGTCTCGAACTTCTGACCTTGTTATATGCCCACCTTGGCCTCCCAAAGTGCTGGGATTACAGGCCTGAGCCAGTGTGACCAACCCTGGGTTTTTTTTTGTTTTGTTTTTGAGATGGGGTCTCACTCTGTTGACCAGGCTGGTGTGCAGTGGCAGGATCTTGGCTCACTGTAACGACTGCCTCCCAGACTCAAGCAGTCCTCCCATCTCAGCTTCCCGAGTAGCCGGGACAGGCACGCACCACCATGCCCCGCTAACTTTTTGTATTTTTGGTAGAGATGGGGTTTCGCCATGTTGCTCAGGCGATCCTTCCACCTCAGCCTCCCAGAGGGCTGGGATTGTAGGCATGAGCCCCACTGCACTGGCCCTGCTCTCTACTATTTTTGATAACTAAGGCCACAGTACATGTGGATTGGAATATATCTCTTAACTAATGGTGGGACAAACACTCTCCATAGAGATGCTTGATAAATATCAAGTGCTTGTCCCCTGCCAATACAAGTGGTCTTCCCAGCATTTTGTTGTTTTTGAGATAGTCTCACTTTGTCACCCAGGCTGGAATACAGTGGCACGATCTCAGAACACTACAATCTCCAACTCCCAGGTTTAAGTGATTCTCCTGCTTCAGCCTCCTGGGTAGCTGGGACTACAGGCACACGCCACTTCACCTGGCTAATTTTTGTATTTGCAGTAGAGACGGGATTTCAACCATATTGTTCAGGCTGGTTTCGAACTCCTGACCTCAGGTGATCCACCCACCTCGGCCTCCCAAAGTGCTGGGATTACAGGCGTGAGCCACTGCGCCCAGCCCTTTCCAGTTTTGTTGAGACAAGGCTTGTGAGAATGTGATGCAAGTTGTGAACCTTCCCCAGAAAGAAGTGCATATGCACAACACAGCCCGGCTGCATCTGCTCCTAACAAAACAGTCAAGCTCACTTTGACTTAATCATCTTCATGCTCCACCCACTCCCAGAAAGATGCAAATTGTTTCTGATGCTGAGTGCAGGCCCGTGCACCTCTTTGCTGCCTTGTATGTTGTGCTATGTTGCGTCTAACTTGTGGCAGCTTTCTGTTTTCCTGCCACAGATGCAGGCAGTCCTGACCTGGAATGGGGAAGCAGGACTCTCTGGCATGGTGTTTATGCTACCCCACACAAATCTGGGGTAGTTGAAATCTTAGCAGTAATGTCCTTCGCCATGTCGGGCAGAAGCTGGCTGCCCACTACGTAAGCTCTTTCCGTGTCGGCACGTGTGGACACGGAGGGGCCGGTGCAGGGAGACTGTAGCTTTGTGCTTACTTGGACACAGTCCTTGACCTCTTGGAGCTTCCGTTTCATTACCCAGCATAGACTCAGCACAGCTAAGTGATGAAGAGAACAGTGTCTGAAGCCAGACTCTCTGGGATTGAATTCAGGTTCCAGCATGTTGGGGCTATGTAATGCCTGGTACCCTCTGTGCCTCGGTTTCTTGAACCTCGTAAGTGACTTAAAATGGGAGAACTTGTAGAACAGTGCCTGGCACATAGTGGGTGCTCAGGAATTGTTAGCTTTTATCATCACCAAGCACATAATCCATATTTGTGGGGTATTGTGAGGTTTAGCTCAAATCATACAAATGTGCTCCACACATTTTAATCCATTAAGATGTTTAGAAATAGATTTTTAGGCCAGGGCGTGGTGGCTCACACCTGTAATCCCAGCACTTTGGGAGGCCGAGGCAAGCGGATCACCTGAGGTCAGGAGTTGGAAATCAGCCTGGCCAACATGGTAAAACCCCGTCTCTACTAAAAATACAAAAATTAGCTGGGCGTGGTGGCATATGGAAGCTGAGGCAGGAGAATTGCTTGAACCAGGGAGGTGGCGATTGCAGTGAGCCCACATTGTGCCACTGCACTCCAGCAAGTGCCACTGACAGAGCAAGACTCTGTCTCCAAAAGAAAAATAAGATTTTTAGAAAATCTTTCACTTTTCAGGAAGAAAGTTTATACTATCTGTGGCTCTGGGTTGAGGAAACAGCATTAATCTCAGAGCTACAGGAGATTGCTTCACTATCAGTTACTTCTAAGAGGATCTTGTCCCCAGTGTCATCCTGTTCTGAGCTCAGCACAGCCCAGGCTGCCTGTGCTCCCCTTTTGGCCAAGTTGATGGATATCTTAGCTTCTCCCAGTTTCTCCCAGGGTGCCTGCTTGTGGGAAGGTGTTTGCTGTTGAAAGCAGTTATGAGCATGTTGTTCACTCGTCAGTGGCCACCTGACCTTTTATGGTGTATGCAATTTTATCATGTGCTCCTGGCCAAGCGCTACATAGTCAACAGACTCCATTAAGTTGGCAAAAAGCATTCTCAGGCTGCGGACATGATGTGATCTGGCTTTAGTTGGCAGAGGTGCATGGACACTGCCAAGGCTCCTGTTTCTGGTTCCAGCGGAGGAGGAGGAGGATTATTCAGAATAACGGCAAACAGCCGGGTGCGGTGGCTCATGGCCTGGTAATCCCAACGCTTTGAGAGGCGGAGATGGGAGGGTCCCAAGCCCAAGAGTTTGAGGCCAGCTAGACAACATGTGAGACTCCATCTCTGAAAAAATTAAAAATTAGGTAGGTGTGGTAGTGCGTGCCTGTAGTCCCAGCTACTCAGGAGACTGAGGCGGAAGGAACCCTTGAGCCTGGAGTTCAGTGTTACAGTGAGCTGTGATGGTACCACTGCACCCCAGCCTGGGCAACTGAGTGAGGTCCTATTTCTAAAAAGAGATGGTAATAATGACAATAGCAAACACACATTGCATTCTAACCAGGCGCCAGGCGCCGTACTGAGGGCGTAAATGCAGCCTCACATCTGCTTCTCACAGCAACCCCACAAGGTAAGTGCTTGTGATTTCTACATCATACAGATGAGGAAACTGAAGCCAAGAGAGATTCAGTAACATGCCAGGGTCACATGGTACGTGTAAGGGGCACGAATGCAGCCCCACAGTCTCACTGCAGAGCCTGCGGCGCTGTACCACACTGACACCTGAGCAGAGTGCCTCGCTGACTGGAGAGCCACAGACGCGGCGCCAAAGGTCAGGGGACAGGGTTTCCTGGCATCCACCAGCCTGACAGAAAGAGAACTGTGCAGTGCGCCAGCTGGCTTTCTCATGGATCGTCAACAGAGAGACTTCCTCTCCAGCAGAACACAGACCATCTCTCCCCTCCCCGCTGTTGGTTTTACCCAGGCTTTGTTTTCTGAAAAAGTGGCTGGGCCTGCTTAACATGCCTAGCAGGGCACTGGGAAATGTACTTCAGCGGCTGGAGCCAGCTAGCTTTCTGGAGTTTTAAAAAGACTTTCAGAAGTTCTATTTCTCCCCCATTGAAAGGAAGGGAAAGGGTTTTTATACAGTCCCTTCTTTTGAGAGAAATGGGGAAACTGTGGGACCAGTGAAGTTCCTTCTGATAATAAAAGAATGATGTCTGTGTCTGAAGCAGGAGGGTTGAGACTATTTTTATGGACGTACTAAGAAATAACTGCATTCAGAAACAGATGAAATTACCAAAGATGAAAGGACTACAGATGTGGAAATGTGTGGCCGCATCGTGTGTGATCACATTAGTATCTATTCCTGAAATAAGGGATAAATTGACAGATTACTAAAGCCAGCAGTAGTAATTGGGCTTTTGCTGAGGGCTAGAAGTCAGTATTTCACAGACTGGGATCTGTTTCTTTTGCATGTCAGTAGGGTTTACTTAGCATATTACCAGCAGAACTAGTCCAATTGTAGCTCAGTTTTTCCTAAGCAGTGGGAAAGGCTGCTTATGCTGCCTGAAGGTAGGGGCTGTGGAACGGTCATTTTCTTAGAATTTAACAACACACTCCGAGACTGAAATTCTTTGTTTGGAAATGTGATTCTGTACATACTTGGTGTCCTTCTGATGTCAGTGTCTTTTGAATGTGCATAATCCAGCCCCGCTACTTCCTATTTAAAGGCATACACACATGATTTCTTCATCCAGGGATCGGCTGCTTTGTTGCTGCCTGGAAGCAGCTTATCTCAGAATGCTCTTTCTGTTTCAGGTCTCTGTTCTAGGATGCCCTGACCCAGTGGTGCATGAGATCGCCTATCAGTACGGGAAAAATATAGGAATAGCTTTTCAGGTTGGTGTGCTTTTTATTTATAAGAATGGTGGTACAGTGATACAGTCAACATTCTCCCCTAGTGTGTAATCGTGAGAATAGTAAGAATGAAGGCAGCGATGTTGGCATGGCGGTGCTCCTTACATCCCATTTTTCCTTTTGCCAGCTAATAGATGATGTACTGGACTTCACCTCATGTTCTGACCAGATGGGCAAACCAACATCAGCTGATCTGAAGCTCGGGTTAGCCACTGGTCCTGTCCTGTTTGCCTCTCAGCAGGTAGGTTTTATACGTTTTACAGACTCCCTTTGATGTGTCACTGGATAGCCCCACAGAATTGATGTCCCATGGCACAGTGGATGGGATGGCATTTAGATTAGAGATCGCAGGTCTGCATTTGATCCTGGCTCTGAGTGAGATGTTGGGGCTGGTCATTTCACCTTGCTAAGCCCATTTCCCCATCTGTAAAATTGAGAAGATGGCCACCTTCCTCCCAGGGTGGTGGTGAGGTTTAGCTAAGATCCTATTTAAGGTCTTTGTGTCTTGTGGTGTGCTGTAGGCATTTGAGGTAGCATCATGATTATTTCCATACATCTTGGGAACCGGCAAGGTGAATGGTTTCCACATCTTGATTATAGGACTGGAGTTTGGTGGTCCTCAGAGCCCCTGAAAAAGGCACAGGAAGCATCAAAGGCATAAGAAATTCTTCAGTTCTAGAAGTGTAATGAGATTATGCTGCTCTGAGAGGGGCCTTAGAAGTTAGGCCATTGCCTCAAATTTCAAGAATTCAGTGAAGTGCGGCAGACCCAGAGTTCCTCCTTCCTCCAGATGAAGGGACTGGGAAGTAAGGAAGTCAGTACAGCTGCCCTCGCGTCCCCCTTTAATGTGAATGAAAGGCTTAGGAAGCTTCAAAGATGTTCCCGCGACTGACAAAGCAGACAGACATCCTTACAGCCTCCTCCAGATGCTGGCCGCATGGCTTTGGCTGTACTGAATGTTACTTGAAATAAGTGAGACATTGCCGGGCGCGGTGGCTCACGCCTGTAATCCCAGCACTTTGGGAGGCCGAGGCGGGTGGATCACAAGGTCAAGAAATCGAGACCATCCTGGTCAACATGGTGAAACCCCGTCTCTACTAAAAAATACAAAAAATCAGCCAGGCATGGTGGCGCTTGCCTGTAATCCCATCTACTCAGGAGGCTGAGGCAGGAGAACTGCCTGAACCCAGGAGGCGGAGGTTGCGGTGAGCCGAGATCGCGCCATTGCACTCCAGCCTGGGTAACAAGAGTGAAACTCCGTCTCAAAAAAAAAAAAAAAAAAATAGTGAGACATTAGCTGGTGTTGGGACATCTTGTTAACAGATTTTCGTCTCAGTAGTACTTAATTTGTTATGTAGCAAAGCAGTAACATGTTCATCACTGTGCCATAAAATTAAACATTAGCTCTTTGGTCTAAAATTATAGTAATTTTTGGTCTTTCAGAGATTTTGCCTTTATTCTGTCTTCACATTTACAAAGGTCAATCATGTCCTCCATAGAAATCAGTGATTCCACTGTGATACAGAAACCACGGCCCCTGCTCTTGGTGGGTTTCTGATTGGAGAGGAGAGGTTATCTTTCACTCACTATCTAGCACAGCCATTGGCAGCATGATTCTTACCAGGGGAGGCCGATGTCCTGGGGGGCTGGGCCAGGCTGCTTTGGTGACTTGCTAATGGACAGCAGAGACTGGAGGAATAAGGGTTATGAATGGAGATGTTGGGGTGCTTTGTAGGAACACCTGCCCTCATTATTACAAGGCTTCCATCCTGTCAAACTTTGGAGGCTGAGGGAAGAAGTGAAAGGTATGCCGTACATAGGTCCTTTCTCCCAGTGAGACTTACTTGCCAGCCCAAAATCAAGGAGCATAATACATGTGCCCACATTTAACAAAAATTTATAAAATTGCCGGGCGCGGTGGCTCAAGCCTGTAATCCCAGCACTTTGGGAGGCCGAGGCGGGTGGATCACGAGATCAAAAGATCGAGACCATCCTGGTCAACACGGTGAAACCCCGTCTCTACTAAAAATACAAAAAATTAGCTGGGCATGGTGGCGTGTGCCTGTAATCCCAGCTACTCGGGAGGCTGAGGCAGGAGAATTGCCTGAACCCAGGAGGCGGAGGTTGCGGTGAGCCGAGATTGCGCCATTGCACTCCATCCCAAAAAAAAAAAAATTTATAAAATCTCCTTTCGTACATTAAGGCATGAGTGAGGAACATCTGAGCCGTGTAGATGTTATGCTGGGGATTATAAAAATGAGTCGTTGGCTACCACCTATACAACTGCAAACATTACTTTCCTACATAGTATCTGTCAGTAATCTACAAGAGATTGAAAAATGCTGGGTTTTTAAAAAAAAAAAAAAAAAAAGGAAGAAAGATGACTGTGCCCCAGGCTACAGTTTGTGTGCTTCACTGGGAAATCCCAGTCATGAGGCGCCTACTCACGCTCACCAGACAGCAGTGTTCTCATCTGCTCATAAGGCAGTGAGTTTAAAAGAAGGCACGTTGCAGCCTCAGAAAAGGGAACACAGAGTGAGTCCAAGCAGGAAGTGACTCTGGACAGGACTCATTTCAAAAGTAGACTGTTTCTCTCTTGTGACACATAGGCCAGCAGTTAGCCAAATAAGTATTTGTACATTGTATTCTAATAAAACAGCAAGGTTCAGCTCTGTTGTGGAATACACTGTCAAACAAGAGATTCTTAGCAAGAAATGTGTCAAAAGATTTATGGGACTAAAATTAATTCTGGGTAAAAACAAGTTCCAAAAATAACATAAGAATGTGCAGTTTCTCCACTTACTGTGTTTTTAGTTTACAAAGGATCTGTTCATACATTATCTCTAATCTCACAACTCCTCTTTGTGGTAGATACGATGGTGGCTATCCTACAAATAAGAAACTGATGCTCAAACCTTGCCAAAATTAAACATCTGGTAAATGGCACAGTAGGGAACTGAACAAGTCTAAGACCAGTATTTATTTCTTATATCTTACGTAGTGTTATTACCACTGGTAATGCTGAGAAGTTAGTAGCTATGACACCCAACAGGCCTTCCCACAGAGCAGGTAACTGACTCCAGGCACTGATGATACTCCCAGCATCCTGTGTTATGTCTTCTTTATTGTGAACATACCTACTTAGTGGAGTCGTTCTGAGATGTGTGGAACCCTTTCCCTTTGGTAGATGAGTTTTGTTTGCTGATGAGATAGTCTTTGCACTTTTCCATTTGTGCATACTGGACCAGGACAAGCATTCTGGGGAAACCACCATTCCCTTTTTTAACTTGTCATGGTGGGTTGTTTTGGAGTTTGCTCCACCCAGCACCTGATAGACACCTTTTCTTTGGAATTCCTTTATTTTTAACATCTCTCTTAAGGGGTTTCCTGATAATAGTTGGTTCAGAGGATTTAAGAGAGGTTTGGGGATTTCTGGAGAAGTCCCAGGGATGAAAGGATGACAGTGTCCTTCCATGCACGTATGTGTACATATTTTCTGTAAGAACAAAAACTCCATGTTAATTGGATTTTTTGAAAGCTTCAGAAACAAAATGGAGGTGCTTTCCTTTCTCTGCTGAGACTATATTGCTTTACAAATATCTCTTTAAAAATCTTTCCTTTCTTCTGTTTCTCTTCCTTATTTGATAAGTCACTAGACCTAAATGTCAGGCTGTAGCCACGTTTCCAGATGCCATCGCCAGCCCCTGCACCAGCTGCACAGGCCTTATGCTATCGTGGTGACTCGTTGGTGCCTCGGTTACCCAGGTTTTGTTTGGGTAAAGTCTTTTACGGGTCGCCTTGGCGGTCCAGTTTATGGACGGATTTCACACTTACAACACGATTTATCCACAGGTGGTTTTCCTAATCTTAAAGGCAGCACCTGAGCAAACAGTTTTTATTTCTCACTAAATCTGCAGGCAACTACTCCTCCGGCTGTGTTTCTTTTCTTTTCCACATACACATTAAGGGGCCTCGGGAGTGCCTGGGAAGAGTTTGATATTTGCATATTAAAATTGCACACACGACATGTTTGGAAGGAAGGATGTAGTCACTCGATGCAAATATTTTTTCAAATTTTGCTTTCTCAATGCTTTTTATAGTAAAGGCATCAGAGAAAACCACCCAATCAGCACATCTTCCTACACTTGCTGGTACTGTAGAAAAAGCTTGTACATCATAAACAAGATAATGTCACCAGATGCCTAGGAGAGGATCACATCGGTGTTAATGGTAAAACCTTCTAGATATCCAGTATTGGTATGTGGTATTAAAAAAACAGGCTGTGTGTGGTGGCTCATGCCCATAATCCCAGCACTCTGGGAGGCCCAGGCAAGAGGATCACTTGAGGCCAGGAGTTTGACACCAGCCTAGGCAACATGGCAAGACCCCATGTCTATAAAAAATTTACAAATTAATCAGGTGCATGCCTGTAGTGCCAGCTACTTGGGAGGCCAAGGTGGGAGAATCACTTGAACCTACGAGTTTAAGGCTGCAGTGAGCTATGATTACACCACTGCACTCCAGCCTGGGCGACAGAACGACTCTCAAAAAATAAAACTAAAACCTCTTTGATTTGGCTTTTTTACTAAAAAAGTTTATTGGGACTTCCCTGATTTCTTTCTAGTAGCTTGTTTTCTTCTTAAAAGACCAGTAACTAAAGGAAATTACTGGTTTTCATAAGAACTAACCAGTTGCTGGCTCTATAAATTCTGTAAGGATGTTAGCAGTCTCTACATATTTAGAGCTTTGTTCTGACACATATTTTGGTCCGAAAAGAACATTCTTTCTTCGTCTGCAATCATTTGCCTGAGGCTTTTCTATGTATGCCCTATTTTTTCTTCTAGGATTACTAACACCTTGGTCATGGTTACAAGACAACTTATTTCATCCTTCAGGTTCACTGCCAGGGAAAGCCTGGCAGCTGCTGTTAGCACTGACGTGGCCAAGACCAAACACTGACATCTTAGAGCTCAAGGGCGGGGCCATGGAGATGAGGAGTCTAAGACCCCAGGGACTAAGGAAGTCACTCAGCTGTGGCAGCTGGTGGCCAAACCAAGACTAGAGCTTGGATCTAGGAAGTGAAGTGATTTGGTGTGCTTTGTATTCTGTTGATGGTGACAGTTCTAAATAGTTCCTACGTATTACAGAATATAGACTTTACCTTCAATTTCTTTTTTACCTATTTTTTTTTTCCTGTTCTTGCTGTCAGCTTAATTCAGGCCTTTTTTTTTTTTTTATAACCTACTACAGTAACCTGTTTGTTCCATCTCCATGACTCTTAATTCCATAGTTCTCAACCTTGGCTGCTCATTAAAAATACCAGGGTGGGCAGGAGGCGGTTGAAACTCCTGGTGCCCAGGCTAAACCCCAAGCCAATATAACCAAAATCTCTGGGAACAGGATCTAGGCAACTGTATTTAAACCTCCCCAGGTCAGGTGCACTGGCTCACACCCGTAATCCCAGCACTTTGGGAGACTGAGGTGGGCAGATCACCTGAGGTCAGGAGTTTGAGACCAGCCTGGCCAACATGACAAAACCCTATCTCTACTAAAAATACAAAATTAGCCTGGCATGGTGGCATGCATCTTTAGTCCCAGCTACTAGGGAGGCTGAGGTTGCAGTAAGCTGAGATTGTGCCACTGCACTCCAGCCTGGGTGACAGAGCAAGGCTCCGTCTCAGGAGAAAAGAAAAATCTCCCCAGCTGATCCCAGTATGCAGTCAGTGTTATGCACCACTGCTCAAATCCACTCTACACACTGCTTAAGGCAGAGCTCTGCACATAAAGCTCTCGGCTCAGAAAACTCAGTAGCTTTCAGTTGGCCCTCAATTTAGTACTTAGCGTAGAATGCCCAATTCCCATCCTCATCCTAGGCCAGTGGCTCTCAAAATGTTGGCAGAGATGAGATACCGGTGTCACCTGGGAATCTGTTAGAACTGCATGCCTAGGCCCCAACCCTACTAAATCAGAAACTGAGGGAGGCCCTACAGGCAGTACAGGCATTAGGAATGATACGATCTAAAGTTTAAGAACCATGTTGGGTTTTGTTGTTGTTTTGAGTTGGAGTTTCACTCTTGTCGCCCAGGCTGGAGTACAGTGGAGTACAATGGCGCAATCTCGGCTCACTACAACCTCCACCTCCCGGGTTCAAGTGATTCTCCTGCCTCAACCTCCTGAATAGCTAGGATGACAGGCGCGCACCACCACACCCAGCTAATTTTTTGTATTTTTAATAGAAATGGGGTTTCACCATGTTAGCCAGGCTGGTCTCAAACTCCTGACCTGAGGTGATCCACCTGCCTCGGCCTCCTGACGTCCTGGGATTACAGGAGTGAGCCACCGTGTCCAGCCAGAACCATGTTGCTTTAGATAGGTACTTTATTCCCCCTGCCTCTCTTACTCAGTGTTGGGCTAGGATAAAACATCAGAATAAACAAGGACTAACGTCTCCTCCTGTACACTTACCGCAGTGCCTGGGCATAGACTGGATGTCTCTTAGCTTTTGATGCCACAATTTATTGCTCCCCAACATCATCAAGACATTTAATTACATTTTTGTTGTTTCTTGCTATTTCCTATTGTTACAAACTAGTGTTAGAACACTTGTTTCTCCCCAGAGAAATAAATAAATTTTCTTTTTGGTTAGTTCCCAGAAATGAATGCTATGATCTTGAGACGGTTCAGTTTGCCGGGAGACGTGGACAGAGCGAGACAGTATGTATTACAGGTAAGACTATTTTTAAAAGCAAGGCAGCAGCAGGAACAACATGGCAAAGTCCTTTAATCCAAAAATGTTACATTTAAACTAAAAATTAAATTACAGATACAAGACTGGTCAAATCTTGATATGAAAAAAAAGTGAAGGGAAAAGTCAGTTTTCTGATTTTTTATTAATTTTCATTTCTCTTCTAGACTACTTATGAAAGATTTTAACTGGTCTTGGGTAAGGCTCAGACATTAATGTAAGGTACCTAAGTGATTCTGGTGAACTGTTAGGGTTGAAGCCCAGTAGTGTGGAGCCAGCCTTCCCTGTGTATCCATCCACAGAATCACTGGGCTGCCAGTCACCCAGCTTGGCTCCAGCCTCATTCATGTCCCCATCTGGGCTGCAGCTGGACTGCTGCAAATAGTCGACTCATAATTGGGCTTTCCTAGTCCGTCCTATGTGACTGTTATAAAAGTACTAAAATGATCATTCAAAAAAGTTAAACCAACTTAGGCAAATATACATTTATATAAATGTTTTTCTTCTAAAGGAAGAATGGTTTAACCCTGTTCAGGGGCTAGTGGCTGGTTTCAGATATATTGCCACGTATCTTCAGAGCTTTTCTGTGGAAGCCAGATCCCTTTGCATGACTTGAGTTTTGGTGACTGACTCTTTTGAGAATGAGCCATTTCCAAGTTCACTGTCATTTGCAGCCAGCAGACCTACTGGATGAGATGGAGGGAGCGAACAATTGTTACAAAGCAACTGTGGCATGAGATCTATACTTAGTACAGTACTTGAAAGACTTCCAAGTAATTACCTTTCAGACTTTTAAAAGATTTTAAAAAGCAACCTCCAGCCCCTAAAACGTTATTTTTCTCTTTTAACTGACTGTACTGTTAAGCTTTGTAATTTGCATTACTGCTGTTTTTGGAGAATGGTTTGAAAGTACTGTTAAAAACTATGGGAGCGAGCTATAGCTGATAAAGAAGTCAGTATCCCTGGGAGAGGTTCTGGCTTCAGAAATAACGTATATTATTGAGGGCTGGAGTGAGAAGTGGAACTGAAAAGCAGGAAGTTAATTGTAGCACCGATGGAAAATAGCAGAGTTCCAGCAGTCCCAGCCAGAAATGCATTTAGAGAAAAAAAATCCACGGGAATGTTCTCTAAACATGTTCTCCAAAATTCTAGCTCCCTGTTCACCCACAGAGCTTCTAGTCCCTATTCCCTCATTAAATGTGAATAGACAACTCAAGATGACAAAAGAGTTGACTAAAGCTTGCTAAACAAAAGAATAGGACCAAAATAACAACAAAAAAAACTTAGGAAAAAAAATAAGAGGATCCAAAATGATACCACATTTACAAAACAAGTCAGGATCATACTTTTTAAATGAGTAAGAGCAAGCTCTAAGAAACTGAAAATGACTGTGAGGAACAAACCCCAAAGGGCTGCAGTGTGAAACTGAAAATCTTCCCAAGTGTAAAACAGAAAGAGGGAAAAGTGAAAAGTAAGAGCTAAGAGGACCAGTACCATCATGTAGCAAGTACTTCAGGAAGAAAATAAAAAAGTGTCCTCTCTGCAAGGAAAAGGTGTCAAAACTGGCTCAGTAAAAGGCAAAAATACTGGATGCTAGAAGGCAGTGGAGCAAGGTCTTCCAAATGAGGATGAAACATTTTAAACCTAGGATCCATTAAATCTGAAGGCAAAAGAAAGTCACCACACATCAGGACTAAAACGTTGACTTCCCATGAACACTTTCTGGGTGGGTTATTTGCAGATGTACTTCAGCAAAATGTGTGGAAAACAGAGAAGGCAGGCTTCTGTACAAAAAGGCACAGCAAACTAAAATGTGTCATGTTTTAAGCAACTGGTATAGAAAATCAGAAGTCTTTCAACCACAGTGTTAGGAATATTCTATTCTAAATGACAGAGGGGGCCGGGCGCAGCGGCTTGTGCCTGTAATCGCAGCACCTTGGGAGGCCAAGGTGGATCACTTGAGGTCAGGGGTTTGAGACCAGCCTGGCCAACATGGTGAAACTCCATCTCTACTAAAAAGCCAAGCATTAGCAGAGTGTGGTAGCACATGCCTGTAATCCCAGCTACTTGGGAGGCTGAGGCACAAGAATCCTTTGAACTTAGGAAGCAGAGGTTGCAGTGAGCCAGGATCATGCCACTGCACTCCAGCCTGGGCAAAAGACTCTGTCTCAAAGAAACATATTAAAAAGAAATGACAGAGGGATCATGAGCCATGGAGAAAGAAATAGAATTATAGTACATGACTTGATTCTGCAGTAAATATTTTTACATAGAAATGATACTTTATTAGTATTTGGCTTTTAGAGAGAACCAATATTTTAAAACATGGTTACAGAATAGAATGTGTATCTATAGTGTAACGGTATGGTTACAGGAAGGACAGGAGCACTGGTATACAAGATAAAATCAGAGGTTTGGCTACCTAACAGAAGTATTCAACAAAATAAAGAGAGCAGTGTAATGATCAAATTAGGAGGCACAGTATGGGTGGGCTAAATCCTCATCTGAACAAAAAGGTAACAGATAATTACTAACCTTGTTAAGAAATAAAAACTAGGCTGGGCAATGTGGCTTTATGCCTATAATCCCAGCACTTTGGGAGGTTGAGGAAGGTGGAGATCATGAGGTCAGGAGTTTGAGACCAGCCTGGCCAACATGGCAAAACCCTGTCTCTACTAAAAATACAAAAATTAGCCAGGTGTGGTGGCATGCACCTGTCATCCCAGCTACTTGGGAGCTGAGGCAGGAGAATCGCTTGAACCCAGGAGGTGAAGGTTGCAGTGAGTCAGGATCCCTCCATGCACTCCAGCTTGGGTGAGAGAGAGACCCTGTCTCAAAAGAAAAACTAATTGATAAAGTGAGTGCCTTTGGAAGAACGGAACTTGATTTTCATCATAAACCCTCTGTACTTTCATTTTATGTCTTTGTTCTTTATTTCTTTTTACTTTTTTTCTTACATTTAAAAATTTTGTATAAAGATATTTTGTATGTGTAGAACTTTTAAGAAACTCTAATACTTAAGTAAAAATTAGGGGGAGATGGATGACTATGTAATATTGATGAGCTAGGTGCTTCGCATGCTAATAGAATAAAAATTTGCTTCTATATGAGAAAAAGAAAGCTATGCTAAATGAAGTTAGGACTATGAGTCTGGCAATGAACATTAGAGATGTAGTTTGACTGTTAACTGTAACCCTCAGCTCATCTGATCTCAAAACTGTGTTAATTTATTATAGCAGGAATTCAGTCAGTGACAGGCATCTGTTTTGTTCTGTATCTCGTAGAGTGATGGTGTGCAACAAACAACCTACCTCGCCCAGCAGTACTGCCATAAAGCAATAAGAGAGATCAGTAAACTTCGACCATCCCCAGAAAGAGATGCCCTCATTCAACTTTCAGAAATTGTACTCACAAGAGATAAATGACAGCTCTTCCTGTTCTTTCTGGCAGCTATCTTACCAGACTGTGCCTAAAGAGTTTTATGGAATACACTGTTTGCTTCATGTGCAGATAACCAAAAATCATTTTAAAAGATATCACTTATTGATGGGCAATTTATTTTTTTTTATTGCAAAAGTTTTTCCAGAAAACTTTTTAAATGTAGTTAAACCATCTGAATCTGTCATTCTAGTCCTATAAATTCTAATCGAGGTATCTTGGTTATATGTGGTATTGTTTACACTGTTAATATCCACATGTAAGGCCATTATACAAATAAATGATAAAATTCAATGGTTTGTTTTGATTTACTATAGGAATAAAGGTCAGAAAAATGTGAAGTCTGCATTGAAGTCCACGAGTTATATTTTAACAGTATCCAAAATTTCATATAGGAGAATGGTTTATTATAAAAGACTGTACATAAAATTTAGACAATAGGTTATATACAAATTAAGAGAACAATCCACTTGAAAAGAAGGTAGCTACCTCATCACTAATGACACTGTTTAACAAAGGCAAAATGCACATGAAATAGTCACATTGATTTGATTGCAATAATGTTCTTTAATTTTCCGAAATAAATGTTTTGCACTATTCTTACCATTCACTATGTTGTTAAGTCTGTAACGTCCAGTATATAACGGTAATTTGAATTCCAAACAAATCCTCAATAACACAAACCCACACTTGAGTGTTCTACTTTAATATCCTAGACAATATAGAATTATACACAAGATAGGAAGAGAAAACATCCCTCAACCCTCCCTTAAGAGGAGACAGACACACAAAGTGCATGTGTTGCATTTCGATCACGTCAAAAGACAGTACAAGTCTGTTGGTTAGGTAAATCTGTTCACTGATGAATACATGACCCACCTTCTTTCCCAATTTTAAAATTCTAATGTTGCTAGTGCCAGGTAATGGATTCAACAGTGCCTATTCACAAATCAACTGCATCCACTTTTACAACATGTAAAAGGTACTTTTAATTTCCTTTCATTGAACCAGTGTACAACAGTGCACTGTAAAACTGAAGGACATGGCAATCCTTAAGAATTTTACCTACAGAATGCATACAATTTGACATCTTTTCTTAGCTTCAAAAGATTCTTTAAAAAAGGAACTCAGTAGACTGACTCGTATATACCACTGCAGATTCTGAATCTGCAAAACTCCATCACATTGCTGTTGGGACAGATAAGGCTAAAATTTTTTACCAAGTTAATATATTGAGAAAATAGAACCATAATTCTTCAATAAATCATTATCTTTTATTTTTTTTTTTTTAAAGCAAACCAGTGAAGGAAAGGACAAAAACCTTTGGTTCACTTATGTATTTATGAATGGAAAAAATTTATAATGCAAATTTCACTCATTAAAAAACTTAGGTACAAATTACAACATTACAGATAATTCTCTTTTTGCTTCTTTTTTGTTTCACATGGAGCCCTTGAAGACTCAAGTCATTTTAAGACACCTAAGTACGAGTCCTCCAGGTAAGTATTACACAAATTGGAAGCATCTTGGAATTTTTAAGTATATTTCAATACATAAATTTTTATGCATGCTTTAAACAAACAGTATTTTTTTAAATGAGAGAATCTAACCAAAAAAGTATGACCAGCACCAGCATTTAAATCTTCTGATTGTAATATTAGTCTGACATAGCGTTAGTAACCATGCTGCACTGAAACAGGTAATGGTACAATCTGAACCATGATTCGTTAAATATTATACCCCACTTCCCCAGAATATTTAGGCTGGTCATCAAGTTAAAAATGTGTAAGTACATAAGCATAATCAGTTATGGACAGCTTCTTGTATAAACTGCTATTTAGCAATACACAAGCTGCCTCAAAGATTTATGCTTACAGGTAGACATTCAATTTACCAATAAAACAGCATGTCCTGAAAATATGGGCACATTTTAAAACATATTAAGACAGGTCTGTTAACCATAATAGTCCCACAGTATGACTGAGTAATAAGAATCTACTTTAAAAGCAAAAAAAAAAATTAATCAGTATAGTGCATGATTGATTCAACATAGTTCCCAGGGAACAAACCAGTCACTCGATTGCAGACTCCTTCATACCAGCCATCATCATTCTTCTTTATAACATAAATGATTGCACCCTCCATAAATGACAGCTCATCATCCTTGTCTTTTGTATAATCATATATTGCAACAACTATGGGGAAAAAAAATGAAATATCACATGAGTGCACTATATCCAACATTTACTTGAATTTTAAAACAATGCCAAATATACAGCACAGCAAAACTATTTTTATGAAGATTCTTAATTCTTGTATTTATCAATATGTCAGAGGCCAACCATGTACTTAAATCACTGGCTTAATCTCAGGGCCAAATGACAATCTGATTAGACTGAAGAGGCCAATAGGTTCTGTCAATCTCTTTAAGAGAGCTCTCTGAATTTTGGAATTTATTAGATGTTTCAATTCCTTCAAATATCTACCAAGTGCCTATCATATGCAAAGCACAGCTTTTCAAGATAATTATAAGGCAAAGAAAGCTGCATAGCCATTCAGTAGCAGGTAACAACCCAAGCTATCCAATTTGAAAACACACAGTTACTGGAAGGTAAATCACATCCTACTTATTCAGGGAACCATGCTAATTTGTGGGACTACTCCCAGATTTCTTAAAAAGAATATTTACTTACTCTTAAAGGATTTTAATTAAAGAAGTTTGCAATTCTGTGGTATCTGTGGTTCTTTTCAGTTCAAGATACAGGTTGAGTAACCCTTATCTGGACTGCCTGGGATCAAAACTTTGGATTTGGGAATTTTTTCAGATTTGGAATTTTACATACATATAATGAGATATCTTGGAGGTGGGACCCAAGTCTAAACACAAAACTCATTTTTGTTTCACATACACATAGCCTGAAGGTAATTTTATTCTTCCCCTGGGAACACCAAATCAACTGTGTCATTCGCCTGCATTTTGACCGTGACCCATCACATGAGGTCAGGTGTGGAATTTTCCACTTGCGGCATCATGTTGGCATTCAATAGTTTCAGATTTTGGAGCATTTTAAATTTGGGACTTTCAGATAGGGATGCTCAGCCTATATTCACTTGCTCTGCAAACTTGTAGAAAGAGAAAGCAATCTAAAATGTACAAAATGGCCCATGGACAAATCCAAACCACCGCATTTTGTGAAAATAAAGCTCGATTGCAATAGGGCCACATCTGCTTACTCATGTATTGTCTGTCTGCTTTTACACTACCACAGCAGGACTGAGTAGTTGTGACAGAGACTGTACAGCCAACAAAGTTTAAAATATTTACTATCTGGCTTTGTACCAAAAAAAGTGTGCCCACCCCTAGTTTAAGATTATTATTCCAACTTGGGAAGATACTTTTTCATCCTGCTCTTCTATTAAGTATATTAACCAATATATCATTCCAAATTTGTCAACTTATATAAATATGGTCCCATTTTCATAGTTATATTTCCTTTACCAAATAAGCAAATAGGGGTAAAATCTCGATTCAAGGCCACTCAAGTTTATCATCCTCATAAGTAATAACACCTATTTGAAGGTATATGGGAATCTAAAGTGGAATATTTTAAGACTTTCTTAACAATATGTAAATTATCGGCCTGGTGCGGTGGCTCACAAGGTCAAGAGATCGAGACCACCTGGCCAACATAGTGAAACCCTGTCTCCACTATAGTACAAAAATTAGCTGGGTGCGGGGGTGCGCGCCTGTAGTCCCAGCTACTCGGGAGGCTGAGGCAGGAGAATTGCTTGAACCCAGGAGGTGGAGGTTGCAGTGAGCCGAAATCGCACCACTGCACTCCAGCCGGGTGCCTGGCGACAGTGTGAGACTCTGTCTAAAATATATAAATAAATAAATATATATGTATGTATGTATATGTATATGTATATGTAAATTATCTACTGTTTAAACATATAAGGCCAGTTATGGCTCACACCTGTAATCCCAGCACTTTGGGAGGCGCCAAGGCGGCTGGATCACTTGAGGTCTGGCGTTCAAGACCAGCCTGGCCAACATGGTGAAACTGTATCTCTACTAAAAATACAAAAATGAGCTGGGTGTGGTGGCGGGCACCTGTAATCCCAGCTACTTAAGAGGCTGAGACAGGAGAATCACTTAAACCCAGAAGGTGGAAGTTGCAGCGAGCTGAGATCACACCACTGCACTCTAGCTTGGGAGCCTGGGTGACAGAGCAAGACTCCATCTCAAAAAATAAAAAAAATATATGAAAAGAAAACAAATGGCTGGGTGCAGTGGCTCATGCCTGTAATCCCAGCACTTTGGGAGGCCAAGGCGGGCAGATCACGAGGTCAAGAGATCGAGACCATCCTGGCCAACATGGTGAAACCCCCATCTCTACTGAAAATACAAAAATTAGCTGGGCGTGGTGGCGCGTGCCTGTAGTCCCAGCTACTCGGGAAGCTGAGGCAGAAGAATTGCTTGAACCCGGGAGGCAGAGGTTGCAGTGAGCCGAGATGGCACCACTGCACTCCAGCCTGCCACCTGGTGATGGAGTGAGACTGTCTCTGGACTTTAAGCAAAAAAAAAAAAAGAAAAGAAAAGAAATTTACTTTTGCCACATATCCAAAACTTGGGCAGGAAAGAATGCTGCTGGTCGAAAGAGTTACAGCTACTTGCTTAAAGTCCACTGACCCAATTAAAGCCAATAGAAGGAAATATATTTCAAAGGCAACCAAAAGTCATCAACTAAATCACAAGAATTTTTCAGAACTCTATAGAAATACAGATTTTTAATTGATTCCCACTTCTGCAGAAAGAAATACAGATTTTTAAATAGCACAGAACTGAATGAAAAAAACTCTAAAACAGGGTTTCTTCCCCGTCTATATTTCTTAATAGATTGTTATAGTGAATATTGGATACTCTAGGTAAATTAGACTTTAGAGCAGTTCATAATTTCATAAAATACAGTCCTGGTAATTTGTCTTCTCTTTTATAAAATCGCCTAACTGAAACCTTAATTGAGGCTTTCCTCATGATAGTACCAAGATATTTTTAAAGACAGATGTTCTTCCACTTAACATCCAATTGGGTAATGTCCCAATAAACCCACTGTTTAGTGGAAAATACTGTAAATTTAAAGTACATTTTCAACTTATAACTTATATTTATTTATAACAGGTTTAACCAGACAAAGCACCATCATAAGTTGAGAAGCATACTGAATGCACATCATTTTTGTACCATCATAAAGTTGAAAAACTCCTAAACTGAACCATCATAAATCAGGGAGCATCTGTATTTAGATATGAAAGATTTCTATTTTAATCAATAGAGCTTGAAAGAACTTTAAAAATCTTTACTAATTATATATAACTCCATTTTTGTGCCTTAGCTGTTTCATCTATAAAATGCAGTCCAGCAAGTTAATCTTCAGCTGAACGCATATGTAGTTTGAAAGCAAATCTGCAATTTTAATTTAAAATACAAAGAAAGCATGCCCTTGTACACTGGGAATAATATAAAGCCTAGGAAGTAAGGTTTAAGTCAATCACCTTGGTTGGTAAGGCAGTTTAAAAGGTTGAGAAACATTGGACCAGATGTTCTTTATAGCTCTAAATTTTTATGATTCGGTTATTTTCCTTCACATAAATTCAATGACTGTACCTTACCTTTCTCAATATAATTCTTGGGGGCCCAAGCAGGATCCCCATCTGCATAAGGATCATTATACTGAACTACTGCAGCCTCCTCATCTTCATAATCCACAGGAGGTGGTGGTGGTGGAGGTGGAGAGTCATCAAACATGGGAATGTCATCTGGTGGAGGCGGTGGCGGTGGAGTTGGACTATCAGCAACTAAAAAGATTCACATGATTGATCTGAATCAAAAGTTCATCTAAATGGAAATTTCTAAGTTAACAGAATTTAAGAAAGCTCTAACTTAAGTACAGCATGCACTATAATAAAACATGCAATGATCAGAAATAAAAGCTTGGTGTGTTAAAGTTTATGCTACTCAATCATTTTAAAATAAGAAAATGAGCTTAAAATAAGGGTATCTGGAAGTACTACAAATTAATAAATGCAGGGTGTTAGGAGACAATGCCTCTTTCTGTAAGGATTATAGGAGTAGTTTCTTTATTCCAAGGTTCAGATCAGGACAAATGTTAACAACCAACCTGTGTCACTTTTTGTCATTTGTACTGCAGTAAATGATACGAGTAACATTACATTAATGGTTTGATCACTTTTCTTTGTGCTATTCATGCCCCTGATTTTGGCTTGAAACAGCTTTGATTCCCTAAAAATTAAATCTCCTGTGGACAGATTTTTATTTGTTGATTATTGTTTGTTTCAATAGAGAGAAAAGTAAAGTCGGTGGCATTAGGTCTGCTTCTATGTGTAGATTTTCTACTCTGTTAAATTTTACAAGTTGAAAAAATTTAAAAAGAATTCCCAACGAGTAGAAAAATCTAACTGAACATTTTCAAACATGTTTATATTCATAATCAGTTTTTTAATGTAGAAAGTAAGCTAAAATTCTGCATTACTGCTAGTAAAACATAAGCATGGGATGAGGGAAAGCCTGGATCCTAAAGATTCAATTTTCAAAGAATACATCAACAATTAAGATTTAAACATAAAGTGTTGAAGATGTAATTAAAAAAAAAACAAAAAGGAACTGATATTAAACAAAACAATAAAAATGACTCATACCTCAAACTATAGATGGTCGTGGTCAGTATATATGTGTGTGCTTTACATAGTCAAAGGTGTAAACAGGGAAATGGGAAATGTCAGGCTAGAGCTGTGTTCAGTGAACTAGTATATCAGCTAACAAATGCTCCCAATATTTAAAGAATTCGAAGCTGGAACCCAACTAATGCTTAACTTAAATTTCTGATCCACAAATTTCTTCTAAGAAATTAAATTTCTAAGTTCAAAAGACATATGAAGACGTTTTCATACAAATTGATACAGGAATTATATAATTCCTGCAGGGAGAAATTCAAAAT